GAAAATATACAGTTGTAGCTATATAATTTAGCCCCATTCAACCTACCATTGTCTCCATCTTTCACTCCACTTTGTTCAAACGATACTGTATTAAGTCAATGATTGATAATCCATACACATGAAATGATTGGAAATATCAATCGAGACAGAAACTAAATTGCTAAAAGAAGTTCAACAAGGTAGATATTGTGACTGATTAACACTATGCTAATGAATTCCTAATAAAACCTTAATTACTATAGCTTAATACAAATAAATTGAAATATTCCGGCCAACATGCCGGGTATAAGCTAGTAGAAGCTAGCTTTGTCTATGGACTAGTCTTGATCACAACGATCAAGGAAACCACATAAATCCGTTTGTTCCATATGTTTCATCTAAACATACGTTTCGATTATCATGGTATCAGAGCCTGCGCTTATGGAGTCCGATCAGATCAATACTCGTCTGAATTCAAAGAACTTTGCGATTTGAGAGTTTCAATTTCGTACATTAGTTAAAACTCAAGGTTATTATGGTTTCTTGGACGTTCCGACAAGTGCCCTACCGTTCCTCCGGCTTCCGATCATGAGCTTGCTAAATGGGTGCAATCTGATGCACGAGTTCGTTCCTGGATATTGAAATCGGTGGATACCTCAATCATCTTAGGGCTTCGGCTTCTACCCACATCTGTAGCGATGTGGAAGTCTCTCTGGGAGACCTACGCTACGACTAACGTGGCCCGCAAGTTTGAGCTCAAGGCCAGGGCGGAAAACAGGCTGCATAATAAGGACTGGAGAGTGGACCAGTCAAGGCGGAGGACTGAAAGTGGGACCAGTAGTAGCAAGAACACGGGCTAATACAAAAACAACCACTCAAACACAGAATAATTAGGTAGAGTTGTCAGCGCAATGACACAATATCCAAAAAAAAAAAAAACAAACACAAATAATCCGGTCTGCACTCCTCCAAAACAACACAAACACTCAACAAACACTAGAACAAACAAGAGGGGGAGCCAGCGAGTACAACCTACTCGAGGTGGTCGAAGTCGATGTTGTTCATGATGTCATCAGCATCCCCTGGCGGTGGTGATGGAGAGTGCACCCACGGAGTAGTCAAGTGGTGCTCCGGATGGCAGGACTAGAGTAGGTGCTTCTGGTACTCCATTAGCTTGCGCCCTCGGTCCCGCTCTCGGTCAAGACGGGTATGAAGTTCCTGATGTTGAACCGCGAATTGGTCGAGGTGACTTTCAATCTGTTCAAATTGAGCAACATACTAAGCCTGATGAGTTGAATACTGCTGCTCGAACTAGAGCTGGTGATCTATGAGCTGTAGATTCTTGAGACCTAGTTGCTAGAACTAGAGACCCATATGATGGAACTAGTCAGTGAAGAACTCCATCGATGAAATAGAACAACCGAAGGAGGACTCACCTCGCTCTGGTCTTCATCGTGGTGGAGGATCCCAAGCGGGGATAACTCGGGCTCCATCGCAACGCCATCAGCATCATCTCCACCATCGTCATCGTCATTAGCATCATCATCATCTGCCTCAGACTCCTCGTCATCATCATCAACCGCAGCACCATCTGGCGGCATGGAAAGACCATCCACCCACTCCCGGCCATCAGCTAAAGTCAGGAGAAGGGCATTGCTAAGGACGACCCTATTGAGCGAGTGTAAGCCGAACTGAGAAGAGGCGTCAGTCAAACCCCAGAAATCCACCTGAAAGTGTCGGGCCAGAAGGGTGACTAGGAGACCACAATAAAGATAGTTGGGCTTAGCATGGCACTTGGCGAAGGTCTTAGCCATGACAGAACCGAGATGAAGGTGATGGTCCGGATCCATCATAGTGAACATGTAGTAGAGCACACGCTTTGTGAGCTTGCACGAACCCCTGGCATTGGGGACCACCAAGCGAGTGAGAAGGAGGTTGATGATGTGCCATTGAGGTAAAGGGTGGTGACATTGGTCTGCCCGCCCTTGAATCGCATATGTCTAGCCTCCAAGCGGCAAATCTAAGGAAGAACTCAAGGTGCGGAAATCATATGGGTTAGCGACCTTCTTAATGTCGTAGGGGGCGGGGGTAGATGATGCCCAAGGCTCTGGCAAGGCCATCCATACTCATAGACCACTCGGCCCCGCCCAGCCGGAAGGTGATAACGTCGAGACGATCGGGAGTCGCAATAAGCCGAAAGGAGTAGGTGGTGTATAACTCCCACATCAACTCCGTGTAAGTGGGATCTTGAATGGACAGGAGAATGTGTCAATCACGGTGGCGAATTGCTGCGGCCATCTCGTTGTAGCAATGGAGCGCCCGAAAAACCTCAAAGTCGAGGTGACTGGTGGGCTGGAGAGATCCATCCAGAACTTCCTAGAACTTTGCTTGGGCCTCTACGGGACGTGGCGCATGTACCGGTGATTGCGAGATATGATCCTGCAAAAAAAGATTAGCCAAAGGTGGAACAACGAGAAAAACCATGTTAGAAAAAAGGACAGGGGATATCTAGTTCCGCCACACTCAAGAACCACCTAGGCAAGCATTCGAGTTCAAAATAGCCGCTTTGCGGTAATAGGTATAGGAAAACCAGCAAAGCAGACTAATATCTAGCACAGATCATAGCATAACACCGGAAAATCAGGTAATTCGACACCAATTATTGCTATTAGGCCACATACAAACACATCCCTCGCCCCTAAACTAGTTCAAGCATGCCAAACAATTCACTGTTCTCAATCCTAACATCTGTAGTGCGATTTTCCAAAAATAACAAAGAAAGCACAAGATACAAACCTGGAAACAGAAGAAGGACTGTAGAGGAAGGTGAGAAGAGGGCGAGGGATGCGAAACTGCGCCGGAAAACGGTCTGGGGGCCTCATCAGAGACTCACCATGCGGCGGCAACAGAGTTCGCCCAAATTGGACGAAAATTCTGGGATAGGGGCGCCCCGAGATGGAGATCCTGTGAAGCGGGTGACCTAGGTTCGGTCCCCAGCAACGGTGCCAAAAACTTGACTCGCTAAAACGCAACGCCAAACTACGACCAAGTGCAATCGCAATTCGAAAATGCAGTATAGTGGGTTCAATTTTACTTGTCAACCCGAGTCCTAGGTGTACTGTCTACTTCGTGAATCTCTATTATCTATATGTTCAGTTCGAGTGAAGATTGTCAAAAGCAGAAACAAACAAAAAGCAAATAACGATTGTATTTAGATTAAGAAAGCTCACTCGGGTATGAGTCCCCCTAGATCGCAGTTAGGCCAAGTTGTAGTTCACCTAAGTCAGGTTGATTGATGTGTAAACTAAGAAAAGTTCTCAAATTGTCTAGAGTCTTGACTAAAATGCTCCAGACCCTCTTAGTTTGAATACCCGGTGGATGACTAACCTCCACCAGCGTAAGCTAACTGAGGCAATAAGATTCTAAATTCCTCTACTGGGTTCTAAACCAATACAGAGCAGTGAATCGACTTCTCGACTAAAGTTGCCGATTCACTACCTCCGATTCAAGATGCTATATTGACCTATGCAGAGATTATCTTTCTAGGTCAAAGCAGGAATCACTAGAATTTGATCAAGACTCAAGCAATTGTGAATAAATACTTCAATTGAATATAAATCAATCAACATTCATGGCAAATGGTTCATACAGCTCTTCCTAACATACAATCTAGGGTTCTTACATACCCATGTGATAGAGGGATTACTCCATAGAGAGAGAATGGAAAGCCATGCTGGATGTAGAAATCATCATGTAGACGGAAGAAATATGCTCCGGGTCGTCAATTGTCACTCACCGATGCTTGCATCAAGCTCCAATGGTGGGGAGACTTGATCTAGAGCACTAAAGGATCTCTTTTCGTCACTTTCTCTCTCTCTCACTAAAGGATCTCTTTTCGTCACTTTCTCTCTCTAAACCTCTATTTTTAGCGCCAAGAATCGAATGGATCTCAATCTCCCATTTCAAGCTCGTTAAACCTGACTTTTGCACCCCCGACCTAATTCCCCGATCGGGTATTTTAATGCCAGGCCTGGTTTTGCCCAAAACGACGGGTAGTAATTAGTCGTCGAGCGCGATTTCCCCAGTCTCAGGCTAAAACCCCCAATCGGGGATTAAGGGGTCACTGCCCAGGGGTATACGTGGATGACTTCCCTGGTCTCTATTGCAATTCCCCGATCGGGGAGAGGTGATTTGATCGGGGATTTCAGTCCTCGAGCTCCTCCTTTAATCCACTCGGTGCTTTTGACCCGAAACTCGTTTCCAAGCATGTATAGTCGATCCAAGACCTGAAATACGTCATACAAGAACAACCTAGCGTGAATCAGTTTAAAACACTAGAATCGAGCCTCTAACAGCGTAGAATGGTTTGCAAAAATATGTGCAAATATCGAGTTATCATTTGTCCACCCTAGTTTTATGAGACACACCTAATCTTCTGCATGCTCGCATTCAAAGTAGCGCGGGATAGCAGGGTCCATGACGATACCCTTCATCACCACAACATCCAAACCCTCCTTCTTGGCAAATTCCGACGCAACTTTCTCTGCTAGTGTATTCTCCTTTGTTGGTCCGAAAATTAGTGATGAAAAATCACCGGTAGTCAGAAACCACTGCCCAGATATACAATGAGGTTCTGCCACCCTTTTTGGACATCCAAGTATGATCTTGTCATTTTTTTCACCAATATGTGTTTTATGGATACGACAAATAAGCTCTACCGAGATGTTTGTGGACCATCTCAGTTTTTTCATAGCTATTCCGCAAATGGTGGACGACCATTACTTAAACATATTTTTTGAAAAATTACTTAAGGGGCTATCCACCTTGCTATAAAAGAACGATGGTGGCATGCTGATATATCAACGAGCAAGATAAAACGATGGTGGTAGACTGATAAAATAAAACATAATAATTTTGTAGACTGCAAATAACAAATAAGATTATTATTTGCCGCCCACCAAATTACTATAATACATATTTGAGTTCGTCTATTTATAAAATACAAATTTTCTTTCCATTCCGCCGATGTGGGTCAGCGATGTCATTGAATGATGTTCCAGTATTATCCGTTCCTTCATTTCGCCTTCTAACGGGCAGATCTGAGCTCAAATAGTCCAATACCACCTGCTACTAATCTCTGCTTTTGGTTCCTCTTACTCAACGCCGCCATCTCCAGCAATGTTAAAGCCGTCGGCTTCAACTGGGCACGACGACCCTTCCACCCGTTGCCGCCGCGCAAGGTAGTGAAGCTCTTGAAGTCCAACAAGATTACAGAGTTAGCTCTTTGATTCCGAAGCGCTAGTGCTTTGAAACTCTTTCCGGCTCCAATATTGGCGTCACCGTCCGCTATCCCAATTCCATGCTCAAGACCTACAACTCTTCCAAGAAAGCAGTCAAGAGTTGGGTCCACAATAACGTGACCTGTTACTTCTTCACCGCCCTCGCTGGACTCCGAATTGAGTAATGTTCTTTACTCTTCTCTGTTGGGTAGTATCAACAGTTGCTTTTAATTAGTCCCAGTTTGATTATTGCTCTTGGATCATTTGCTTGTTGGCGATTTTGTTGAGCTTAGAAATTAGGAACGACTAGAAACCTTACCCAAAAGTCAAGAGAAGAGCTAGGAATGGCAGGGAGAGAAGATGTGAATGAACCGTTGTTCTTGCACTTACTATTACCCACCAACCGCTTGATGATTTGTCTAGCTCAAGAATGCTCCATCTGCTGAATCACTGCAGATACAAAGAGGACACACATTATAGGTCAATTCATATGTTGCTCTATATATACAACGACTTAGTTTTGTTTCTAAGCGTATCTTATTTTGAGCGCTAGTTCTCCCCAAGTACCTTTGTTGATATCTTTCTCACAGTCCGTTGAGGAGATTGAACTCAAACTAAGCTAGAAAAGTATTTGTCTTATTTTCTTAAAGCTAGCTACTGTCCTACTTTAACGATACTACAGAGAGTTGCTAATTCTTACAAGCATAAACGTATGATTGTTTTTACTTACAGGAATGTTTGTTGTAGATGAACCATTCCACCAGATGTACGGTGAACAGTTCCATCCATCTGTCATTGGAGCAGCCATCGGCGTGAAATCAGGTTTAGCAAAAGCTAACCTAGGAAATGAAGCAAAAGTACTGGTGGTGGTTCCTCTTCGTTCAGATTCCGTTCACTCTGAATCGGGTCTAACTTCCAAGGCAAACATCAGGCCTGACCTCAACAAGACATTAATGCTCGAGCTCCTTACATTCCTTGAAAAACATCATTCACCCTTCTTCATTGCCATCTCTCCCTTCTTCCTGCAAGATAAGAACGTTTTCCTCGACTTCGTGAAGTTCAAGGAAACTGCACGCCCTCGTAACGATACCCGCGGCAGAACATACAGAAACAGCGACACATGATACTGCAGTTGTCGGCTGCACCAGCTACTCCCGGGTTTCATGGTATGCCCACACTACAAGAAAACAGATGTTGACAATTTGTGTCGGTTAGTATTCTAACTGACACTATTCTTATCGAATTTGTATGGGTTTTGTGCTAACATACACAATTTGATAACCGACACAAATTATGGTTGATTTGAATTTAGATGAATTTTTTTTGGTTGTTTTTGCTCCAAAAGATTTGACTTGTTTTTGCTGGTTTGTATTGATTGTTTAGTTTAATGTAGGGTTTGTATAGTTGGAATGGTTTGTTTGTATACTTTCTGTGTTGCTTGTATTGATTGTTTAGTTTATGTCTTTTTATACCTCTATTTGTACTCTTCGTGGTTTTACGGTTTGTACACTTTGTTGCTCATGTCAGTTTATGTATGTGCTTTTGTACAGTTTATTACTCTGCTTCATATGGTTTGTTATTTTTATGATTCTGCTTCGTATTGTTTTTTGATTGTATAGTTTGTATGCTTTATTGTATTGTTGGTTGACTTGTTCTGTTGTTGCTTTTGTAGCTTTTAAGTAAGGATGGTAGAAGGTTCAGAGGTGGGAGGTTCAAGTACCCGTGCTGCTGAAGTTGAAATTACTAAAACCAAGAGGAAGGTAGAGAACGTTAAGAATAAGGGGAAGGAAGTTCAGATTTCTGAGACAGGGAAAAGGAAAAGAAAGGTTGTTGCTGGAGAGAAGCAGAAGGCAGCACCTTGCGGAAAAAGGCAGAAGCGAACTCCGGGGGGAGGAAATGAAGCCACTTTGAACTATCGATGCAGCCCGAAAGAGATTCTTAGTCATATTAGACCGCCTTTATCTGATGGCATGGTACAATTGATTAAGTAGCTGAGTTTGGATTTTGTGTTTTTGATGAAGATGAAGCATCTGGACAATGAACTTATTAAGTTCATTATTTCAAGGTGAGATGTGAAGAACAAGTGTATCAACTTGGATGATGGGAAGAAGATTTGCATTACAGAAGAGGATGTTTACCGAGTTTATGGCCTTCCAAGAGGACCAAATGTTGTTTCTTTGCAGAAAACATCAAAGGAGAATTCTAAGCTTGCTAAAAATTATGGTTTCAGTAAAACAGGGAAGGGGACTGTTGCTTTTGACAATTTGAGGACTTGTATGGGAGCAGTGAAGTCTGATGATTCTAGGTGGGTGAATATGTATGTGCTGATAATTTTTTGCCGACTTTTCGAATCTCTTTCATCAAGGACGGTGAGAACAGAATACTTGACATTTCTTTCTCGAGAAATGGTGAAGTATTTCTGTGACTATGATTGGTGCAGTTATGTGTGTGGTCTCATTTGTGATAAGGTGATATCAAGTCAACATAATTGTTGGGTTGAGGGAGATATGCACTTCTTGCTTATTTGTTTTCTCGATAGGACAACTATGAATGAGGAAGAGGCTAGCCGCTGTGTTATTAATTTGGAAACAACATGTCAGTTGTGGAGTCCGAAACTTTTGAAGCAAAGGAAGGCAGCAATGGAGAAGAAGTTTGGGAAGGATTTTGGTAAAGTTTTTGTTCCAAGGGATGCACCCATTTTTTCTACTACTCGTCCGAAGATGACTCAAAGTCTTAGTGGTCTTGAGGTTGCTGAAGGTGAGAAGGGTGCTGGTATTGGAGATGAATTTCCAGACTTCAATCTGAATCTGGATGGGAAGACTGTTCAAGAGGTGAGTTTTTATGGTTTTGTATGTGTTCTTTGGTTACTTTATTAAGATTGTTTATATGCTTTATAGTATTGTTTTCACAATTTATAAGCTTTATGATTTGTTTCTGTATTGTTTATATTATTTCCTATTATTCTTAGTATGACATGTTTGTATTGTTTGTATACTTTGTATTGTTTGTATACTTTGTATGTTTTGGTCTCATCCTTTGTTCTGTTGTATACTTTGTATCTTTTTGGTATCAAGTTTTGTATAGTTTGTATACTTTATATTTTTTTTTTCTATTACTTTGTACTATTTTAATACTTTGTATTTTTTGGTCTATTACTTTGTACTGTCTGTATTATTTGTGTACATTCTCTAACTAATGTTTGTGTTTTCCATTATTTGTTTTGTTGTAGGTTAAGTTGATTATGAGAATGTACACAAATAATATAGACAGTACAAAGTAATATATCAAAACATACAAAGTATCAAAACAGTACAAAGTAACAGAAAAAATATGTAAAGTATACAAACTGTACAAAACTTAACACCAAAAAGATACAAAGTATACAAACAGTACAAAGGATGAGACAAAAACATACAAAGTATACAAACAGTACAAACAATACAAAGTATGCAAACAGTACAAACATTCCATACTAAGAATAATAGGAAATAGTGTAAACAATACAGAAACAGATCATAAAACTTGAAAATTGTGAAAACAATACTATAAAGCATATAAACAATCTGTACAAAGTAACCAAAGAACACATACAAAACCATAGAAAATCACCTCTTGAACAGTCTTCCCATCCAGATTCAGATTGAAGTCTGGAAATTCATCTCCAATACCTGCACCCTTCTCACCTCCAGCAACCTGCCAACCTCAAGACCACTAAGACTTTGAGCCATCTTCGGACGAGTAGTAGAAAAAATGGGTGCATCCCTTAGAACAAAAACTTTACCAAAATCCTTCCCAAACTTCTTCTCCATTGTTGCCTTCCTTTGTTTCAAAAGTTTCGACTCCATAACAGACATGTTGGCACCAAATTACGAACACAGCGGCTGGCCTCTTCCTCATTCACAGTTGTCCTATCGAGAAAACAAATAAGCAAGAAGTGCATATCTCCCTCAACCCAACTGTTATGCTGACTTGATGTCACCTTATCACAAATAAGACCATACACATAACTACACCAATCATAGTCACAGAAATACTTCACCATTTCCTTGAGAAAGAAAAGTCAAGTATTCTGTTCATCGTCCTTGATGAAAGAGATTCGAAAAGTCGGCAAAAAATTATCAGCACATACATATTCACCCACCTAGAATCATCAGACTTCTCTGCTCCCATAAAAGTTCTCAAATTGTCAAAAGCAACAATCTCCTTCCCTGTTTTACTAAAACCATAATTTTTATCAAGCTTAGAATTCTCCTTTGATGTTTTCTGCAAAGAAACAACATTTGGTCCCCTTGGAAGGCATAAACTCGGTAAACATCCTTTTCTGTAATGCAAATCTTCTGCCCATCATCCAAGTTGATACACTTGTTCTTCACATCCCACCTTGAAATAATGAACTTAATAAGTTCATTGTCCAGATGCTTCATCTTCATCAAAAACACAAAATCCAAACCCAACTGCTTAATCAATTGTACCATGCCATCAGATAAAGGAGGCATAACATGACTAAGAATCTCTTTCGGGCTGCATCGATAGTTCAAAGCGGCTTCATTTCCTCCCCCGGAGTTCGCTTCTGCCTTTTTCCGCAAGGTGCTGCCTTCTGCTTCTCTCCAGCAACGACCTTTCTTTTCCTTTTCCCTGTCTCAGAAATCTGAACTTCCTTCCCCTTATTCTTAAAGTTCTCTACCTTCCTCTTGGTTTTGGTAACTTCAACTTCAGCAGCACGGGTACTTGACCCTCCCACCTCTGAACCTTCTACCATCCTTACTTAAAAGCTACAAAAGCAACAATAGAACAAGTCAACCAACAATACAATAAAGCATAAAAACTTAGCCATCATCTTCCCCTTCCATCCCTCTGCTGCTTCCAGATCTAGAATCTACTTCTTTGTTCGAGCTTTCCCCTTTTTCCTCTGGGATGGCGAGCAAAATTCGAGCACTCAGGGTTTGTTTGAGGTGGAAGGTGGTGTTAGAAGTTAGAGGATTATTATGTAATTAACACTTTAGGGTTAGTGTAGTTCGGACGAGTATATATATTGTGGAGAAGGCCATATTATTGTGTAACAGATACGTAAGTAATAAGAACTACAAACTGCCTTGTGCCGTGGACTAGTCTCAACGATCATCGTTGAGGAAACCACGTAAATCTCGTGTTCTACATTTATGTTCTATCGATTCAATTAGAGTTTTGACATGGTATCAGAGCCTCCCGCTTTTGATTTCTGGGTTCGTTTTCTGGTTTGCAAACTGGGTTTTGGCTACTCGTCGTTCTTGTGCTTCTCGTTGGTGGACGACACTTTTTGTTTGGACTCTCTTCGTCGGCGCGCTCTCCCTTGGTCTCGGCAACTGCTGGGATTTCGTTCCAATTAATTGTCCTTGGCGGTACAATTATTTCGTTCCTTTTGCTTGGTCCCGTTAGCGCGCTCTCTCTTGATTTCAGCTGCTGCTGGGATTTCGTTCCAATTAATTGTTCTTGGTGATACAATTTTTTGGCTTTTCTTCTCGCTTGCGTGGGGATCTGGCAATTTCTTTGGCTGTTCTCTCGTGTGTATATCAGGCGTCCGTGTTCACGTTGCTGTTGGGAGTTCGCGTTCAGGTTTGGAACAAGTGTATATCTCGGCTGCTGGTGGGAGTTCGTGTTCAGGTTTGGCCTCTTCTCTGCGTGTGCTCTACTTCTCCGTGTCGGCTGCTATGTTTGAGAATATTACTTCTTGCTCTTTAATTCAACATGGAAGGGTTAAAGAATGATGCTATTGCGGTTCGTTTTACCGGTAAGAACTATGCTCTGCGGGCTTTTCAATTCAAGCTTCATGTTCAAGGTCGACGTTTGCTGTCCTTTCTTGATGGTTCGGCCAAGGAACCCGATGCGATTGCGACGCCGAAGGCTAAGGAGGATTGGGTTGCATCCAATGCTAGTGTTATTAGTTTGTTACTTGGTACAATGGAACCAGCATTGCTTTGAGTTTGCAGGGTTTTTCTACGGCATCGGGGATATGGCAACATCTTGCTAATCTTTACGCGAAGCCCAGTGCTTCTCGTAAATTTGATCTGGAGTGTGATCTGGGTCGTCTGACTCAGGGTGATTCTGACATAAGCTCATACTATCAGGCTGCGGTTAGTCTCTGGACTGAGCATGATCATTTGCCGAGCTCTATGTTGACTGGTGCGGTGTCGACTAACATCATCCGTGAGCGTACAAGCACGCGGATTACGTGCTTCTTAATGATCATGCTCAGTGATTCTCATTCTGCCTTTGTAGTTCAGGGTGGGAAACCTCAATTTCATCGTACTACGAAGGGTGAGATCATCTGTCATTATTGCAAAGAACCTGGTCATATTTAGTATTACTATAAGCAGGAAGGTCGTCTGATTGCCGACTGCCCACGCAAAAAGAATATGTGTAACATCTGCAAGCAGGAGGGCCATGTAATTGCTAATTGTGTCACGCTTGCTAGTCGTGGCCGTAGCAAGCCGAGTGGCTCGCGTGGGGGTCCTGGTCCTGGCGCGCTTATGCCACGACTGTAGTAGAGTCTGTCGCGTCCTCTTCTCTTATGCCTGCTTATGTTCGTCGTCTGGTTCTGGAGGCGTTAAAGTAGGCCCTGCCAAATGCCTTGACCTCTGCATTTTCCACAGGTAAGGATTCTTCTTCTGCTTCTTGGCATGTTGATTCAGCCGCATATAATCATATGACTATTTCTTGTAGTGCTTTTCGGTCTCTTGATACGTCGTTTCCGTGTCTTGAGTTACAAGCTGCCGATGGGTCCGTTATGTCAGTTGACTGTATGGGTCATGTTGTTCGGCCTCATATATCTCTATATGTTCCCAGATACTTTATATGTTCCCAAACTCGTGCCCAATCTTATCTCAGTAGGTCAACTTGCCGATAATGGTTATCCGGGTGTATCACATCAAAATGGTTTGGTCGAACGTAAACATCGCCATGTTCTTGAATTGACTCGAGCTATTCAATTTCATTCACTGGTTCCTTCCAGGTTTTGGGTTAAAGCAGTCCATACGGTCGTATACTTGATTAATCGTCAGATTACAACTATTCTTCAACAACGGAGTCCATATCAGGCGTTATATTCTCGGGTTCCTAATTACGGTTGACTGCGTGTATTCGTGATAAACCCCTAAGCAGGGTTTTAGTCAGAATTCGCGCAGCCAAGATGCTTGGAAGCCTCGGGTTAACCTTCCTCGAACAAGAACTCAAAACAGGGTTCTTCAAACAAGCTTGGGAAGCAAGTTTGACATGTCGATTGGATGGAAACGAAACGGAAATCTCACACCTGGGAGATTACACGTTCGTTACAAGGATGCCTTCGATCTAACCGAATGGGATTGCTCGATCAATAGGCTTGATTCAGCAAGTTTTGATCGCAACCAAAACCAAGAACAAACTCACAACGCTCACGTTGAGAATTTTGGGGTTTTCTATTCAAATCACTTCTTCCTCTTACAATTCGAGAATGAGGCCTTTTATAGGCTTAAACAACTACAACAAACTAAAACTAGAACTCAAATTAACCTAATTCAACTTGGTTAATTTCTGGCAGCTCCCGTTAGCATCTTTGGACCCTTCGATCCTCGCCTTCCCAGCCAAGTCGAGATCAACCAAAACCCGTTCTGGGTTTAGAAAGCTTCACTCTATCTTCTCCAACTTGAATCACCTCCTGGTTCTGCCCCAAACTCCACATAGGAAGCCTCAAAGTCAGCACCTCGAACTCATGTTTTGCCTTAGCCAAAAATAGCAGTTTCTTGGTTTTGGGTTAGCAAGTTGGTGAGCTCCAAAACTAGCCTTGTGGGCTTCTCCTTGATCACCCACGCACTCCACCATGTAGGTAAAGTTCTTGTCTTCAAAACAAGCATCAAACTCCCATTTTCATCACATGACTTGGAAGATTCAAGCCTCCAAAGTGGGTATCCTGCAACACCAAAAACACTTGTGGTTCTTTATGGCTTAATGACCTTGCCTTTTGTTCAATCCATGGAAGCTTCAAGGCAAGCAATTTGGGATCATATATGGCTCCCTTTGTTGAAAAAACTTTGCCCTCAAAGCTTGGGTCTTCTTGGCTTCAAAAGAATCGCAAAATTGAACCCAAATTGGGTCCAATGTAGGCTGATCGAACAACGTTTTCTTGAAATCGAGGGCACTGTTCGTCGTTGAACAAATTTGGGATTTTGTTCCTCAGGGATTTCCAGTACAATTTAACACTTCCCAGAGCTTCTGCATATGCCCGAAATGTCGACTCATCGCCATCTTCCTCGAATCGCCAAAGTTCCATTTCCCGTCATCGTTAGTGTTTGAAATCGGCGAACCCAAAAACTCAATTCAAAAATTGGGGACTTTTGATTCTGGGATTTTCGAACTCAATTGTTGTGTCCTACAGCTTCTCAGGACCTCCCTCGATGATTCTGTATATTCAGTTTTGTCCGAATCGTCCTCAAACTCTCCAACCCATAGCCTCGATTTTAGCTCGTACTTGCTCGTTTCCAGGGGTGTTTGAGCTTGAATTGGATGCATTGATTCAGGTTGAATCGACTCCACTTGATTCATGTGAGAGCTTGAAGCCATAAGAAATGTGTTGGCACCATTGGGTCGGATCGACGTGGCCTCCAGGTCTCCACCCAATAGACCCTCTCTCCTCCCCTGTCTCGCCGTCGACGAGCAACAGAGTTGCTGCTTCCCGTGCCGATGTGGGTTCCTCTCTCATTGTAGGTCACTAAGCACCATCCTTTGGCAATTAAACTTGTCCATGTACCCTTCCCTTCCTTTTCTTGAGCTCGATTAAGCTCCAACTGCCTTTGATCCTTTCGAACCTTGATCGGGGACAGAGGACTTAGTTTCAGCTTCTTCCCTCCATGACTAAAGGTATAGCAATCGGAACGGCCATGGTGAGTTACTCCTCGATAATACTGTCACGATCGACCCATCAGTATGTGCGCAACACGCATTGGCGCCACATCACAGAGCATTCGATCGTGGTACTGGTCGATTTCGAATTCAACCCATGCCTGCTTCGTCACTTTCACAACTCCATGATCGTTGAGCCAATGTAGGTTGTAGGGCTCGTGATGCTTGAGAGTGCTCAAGCCAAGCTTCCTCACAGTCTCTAAGCTCACAACATTAGTGCAGCTTCCTCCGTCGATCACCATCGACTCTATCTTTCCTTGAATTCGGCAGCGGGTATGGAATAAATTGTCACGCTGTTGGGTTTCACTAACCGCCTCAACGGTGAGTGCTCTTCTGTTAACGAGAAAATGTCCACCTGGAGCCTCCATTTCAATGTTCTTGTCTTTTTCTTCATCAGAAACCTCATCATAAGGTCCCTTTTCCTTCTCTTCATCCTCCGAGTAGTACTCACCATCACGTAGGATTAGCACTTTTGGATTGGGGCATTAGAAGGATTTGTGCCCTTTTCCATGGCACTTGTAGCATTCCAATCGACTAATTGAGCCTCCAGCTCGGTCCTGACTGCCTTGCTGGGGAATTGGTTTTAAATTCACAAAATGAATTGGGGTTGGGGCGGCCGTCAGAGCAATTTCAAGGGCATTGCTTGGCCTTGATGCAGAGAAGCGTCTAGCTGTTCCTTGCTTGAGTTGCTTCCCGATTTTAAGGTCCAAGCGAATCGCCTCTTCCATATCAGAAAACTAGCGTAAGTCCAACTCATGCCTGATCTCCTCGTTTAGCCCACACAAGAAATGCGAGATAGTGGCCTCAGAATCCTCACGGACGTCGACTCTGGTTAGTAGCAGCTCGAGCTCCTTGGAATATTCATCAACATTTCGCGTACCCTGACGGATTGTCTGCAGGGCTTCATGTAATTCGCGCCAGTGATAGACCGACACAAACTTTTCCCTCATCAATCCCCTTAATTCCTCTCATGTCGACACTGGAGCCTGCAGATTGCGCCGCCGCTGAATTTGAAGCTACTCCCACCAATTTGCAGCATAGTTTTGAAACTCATACATGGCAAGGAGTATCTTCTGATTCTCGGTATACGGACCACACTGGAAAAACAAGAGGATCTTCCTCTCCCAATCCAGAAAAGCCGTAGCATTGTTCGTACCTTGGAAGGGAGGAATGGACAGTTTGATTTCCCTCAATTCCGAGACTGGAACTTCCTTTGTTTCTTGTTCACTCGTGGGGCACTGACACGCCAAAACACAACACCAAACTGCGACCAAGTGTAATCGCAGTCCGGGAATGCAGTAACAGGCAAGTTATATTATCAACCCGGGGTCTAGATCTACTGCTTACTCCGTGATTCTCTATTATCTAGCAAACTAGTTCGAGTGATTGTTGTTTAAAAGCAAAAGCAGTAAGAAAGCAGTAAACTGTTCGGTTTTCTAAGGCAGGTAAGAGTCACTCGGGAATGAGTCCCCCTAGCCCCTTAGTTAGGTTCAATTGCAATTCCCTGGGTTGATTTACTGTTGATTAGACTGCGGAAGATCCGACAGTAGCTTGGAATCTCTTAAGCTGACCAAGCCCTCTCAGTCTAACTACCCGGCAAACGACTAATCTTCACCGGGATAGAAAGCTGAGGCTATGAACACAGAACTCCACTACTGGCGCCAAGAACACCAGTACAAAGCAGTAAACTGGCTAACTCTCGTATAGCCAATCTCCTACTATCGAATGAAGAGGCTCTAACAACCTAATTAGATTCTATCTATCTCAGGTTGAAGCAGAAATTGAGACAAGCTGATCAGACTCAAATCAATTCATTAAACATGCGTCATTCGATTAAAATCAAACAGTAATATCATCCCAAGTCATTACAATCAAATCCCTAACACAAGGAACTAGGGTTCTTCATACCCAAGTGAGAGAAAGGTTCTACTCCATAGAGAGCGAAGGGAAAACAGAAATCAGAGTGGTCATACTCATAAAGATGAGGAAAATCTGCTCTGGGATGTCAATCTTCACTCCTAGGGATGCAATCTTGGCTTCAATGATGAGAAATCCACTCCAAAATAGCTCCTAGGGTTTGTTCTTCGCTCTTTCTCTCTCTAAAACTCTGTTTTTGCCCAGAAAATCGAATTCTCCTTCCTTGGCTCGAATCTGCCTCCAAAAACCCGACTCTGGGCGAATTACGGGCAGAATTACGGCCGTAATCACTTCCTGCCCGTAATTCGCACCAAAACGCACGTTTCACTTAAGCTGCAGGAGGAGGAGATACGCCCGTAATCTCCCAATTACCGCCAGTAATTTGGGAATTACGGCCGTAATTCTTGGGGTCTTGCCCGTAATTTTACCACCGAGAAGAATTGCTGGGGAGAAGCCTCGGCCAATTAATTACGGGCATGCCCTGGCTAATTACGGCCGTAATTTAGCAGGGGCTGCCCGTAATTCTGTCTGTGCTTCGCCAATTGACCTCCAAATGACCCGAAACTTGCGCCTATGCACCTCTTTACTTGCTAGGACCTGAAATACGACAAAACAACACAACCTAGCGTAAAATAGGCCAAGGAACAATCAATTCGAGCCAAAATGGACAGGAAACCAGAGTGAAAACACGTGCAAATACGATGCTATCAGGCACCCCCTTGAGGCCTATTGAATGGATGTTGGTCTTCAGTATTGACT